TTCCCAGTGACCTCGAGGATGCAAATAATCAAAAGTCTCAGTCAACGCAGGTCCAGGTCTGGGGCTGCCGAGGCTGCTGGCCAGGGCCGTTGAGGCTGTGAAGAGACGGCCGCGGCTGGTTTAACACGGGCCGTCCCTGCAGGAAGGCTGGGGAAAGGTCCAGCACAGAGTTCACATGACGTTTTCCAGAGCACCCCGCCTCCGAGCCACAGGTCAGTTTGTTCACCACGAACTACACCAGGCAGGCCAGGCACATCTCGCTGACCCCACGCCTTAGAGGAGTGGACTCCACTGAGGACATCACGGGGGTACTCTCCAAGGACGGGCATCTCTCTGAGGCGACGTCACACAGCCATCCTTCTGCGCCAGGTCTCCAGTGCAGGGAGAGGATGAGCACAGGAAGATGCTCGTGAGGAGGAACGTGTAGGGGAAGCACTAGGGTGAGGACAGCCTCCTGGAGAAGAGTCACTGTTGGAAGACCGGCACTAGAAGATGTGGCAAAGGAGATGCCCCGATGGATACACTGGAGAGGTGTGTTCCTGCCAATCACAGGCCCTTGGCACCGACCCTCTGCCCATATCTCCCCCTAAGGCATATGTCAGCCCTCTTTTGGACGCCAACCAGGAAAAGCAGGAGACAGATGCTTCGACTGGACTCAGGAGTCCCAGCACATCCAGCAGGAGCTGCGTGATCCTGGGACCCAGTGTCCTTATATAAATATGGGACGCATGACTCCTGCCTCGAACCTGTCATGGCTTGTCGAGAAGAACAAACGTGAAAACGGCGATGCTGCCCATCAACAGGAGGGAGTCACAGTGCTGGTGGTGTTATGGCACTCACAACACAGATTTATTTGTTGAGCTTCTGTTCCAGCAAGACAATGCCAACATAATCCACTCTGGATTTGCAATCCAGGAGGGAACAGGAAATTTACCCACGTAAAGCTGTGTGCAAGGTGGCATGTTGGTAAATACAGTGATGCCGTACAGACATTAAGTGGCTAGAGAATGCAAAAACCATGATGGATTGGCGGGGTTTTGGTGATGTCCATTCATGCACCAAACATTTGCCAAGAGTCTAGCATACACCCAAGCCGCTCTAGAGGGAGGAAGCAGGAGCAAAATGCCCTCGAAGGCTGGCGTTCTCCTGGAGGGACAGACATTGCCAAATATGACAGGTGGAGACAGCGCGGTGGGAGGAGGCTGGGTCGGCTGATGATGGTCCTTAGAGAAGAATTCACTGACAGGAAGCAGGGGCAGACCTGGCTGTACATGGGGAAAGAATATTTGATGGCACCGGGAACAGAGCTTCACAGAGCTTTAAAGGATGAAAGGGGCTTCCTCAGGCAGCCCCAGGGGGCTTTGGAGGTAAGGAACCTAAACTTAACCCTAAGCCTAAACCTGTAAGTCACCAAGGTGGATGGCCAAGGTGGACATGCAATTCCCAAATACCGCCACCAGGTGGCAGAGCGACTCCAGGCAGAAGGTCTTGCTGGTGTCTGGGAAGAAAGCTCTTTGCTCCTCCCAGAGAGGATGCCGGGGCACCCAGGGGGTGGCAGTCGCTGCCGTGAAGGGTCAAAGGGGAGAAGAGATCCTGTGCTGGCAAATGGCTGGAGCTTTCCAGAAGCCACGGTGCACCCCCAGTCGGCCCTCGGCTGCCCCCCCCACCCCCCACCTCCTTGGAATAAAGGCCAGCGCGGTGACAACTGAGGGGTATCCCTGAGGGAGGAGCTTGGTGTCCTGGGGCTGGGCCTGTGTCCTGGGAGCTGGAAAGGCATTTCCTGGCTCTGAGCTGGGGTCCCTGTAGACCCTCCTCTGCCCTCCAGTCTGAGCCCACAGTGCAGCCCTGCGCTTGGCCTCCCTGAGAGCACAGAGAAGCCCCTTTGGAGGAGGAGCCCTGATGTGACAGTGCAGGGGACACCCAGTGGCAGGCCTTTGCACCTCTGGGTCCCTTGAAGTCCCTGACACCAAGCCTGTACACATCATGAGTATGTCTCAGATTAATAGGAGCAAGATTGAACACTCAGGGCCCGGAACAGCAAAACACGGCAGGAGCTCCCTCTCTGCACACCCCTAAGCCACAGCCTCATCCTGCAAGATGGAGGCAGCCACCTCCCCC